CCCCGCACCGCCTTATTCGGGTCGAGACCCCTGGGCCCCCGGCGCCCCCTCCCGATGAGCGGATCTCCGGACTTCCCGCCAGCAGCGACAGGGTGAGTGCCGGGCCAGGCGGCGGTGGCCTGGAGGGGAGGTGATCAGAGGTCTGGAGGTTGTGAAAGGGACAAAGGTGGCCTGGCCCGGGTCGGGCCCCTCGATGTCACGGCTCCTGGAGGACACGAGCTTAGTCCTTGATCCTGGGGCTCCAAGTATTCATCCACCTTTGTTCAGATTCTCGACCGATTGATCTGGGGGGACAGAAGCCTCAAACTCTGCCCTTTTGCCCTGTTATGGCCCAAGGACTGGTAACCTCCCTCTCCCAGGCTTCACTGTCCGCTTTACAGCCCCCTTCCCTTACCCTGATCCGTGAGCCTTTTTCTAACGGGAATTGAGGTGCACCCCGCCTTGCTGGTTTATAGCCTTTCTACCCCTATGGGAGAAGCAGCTCACTGCCCTTTGATCTCTGACCCGTCCCCCAGGGCAGAGGCAGCACAAAGCTCTCTTCTCCTCCTCTTCCCCTTCCTCTGCTCCTCATTCCCCTCCTCTCCCTCACCCTCCTCCTCCACTGCCTGAAGCCCAAGCATCCTTGCAGGTGCTGGAGCCCCAGAAAGGAGGTGAAGGCTGGAATTTCACCCTGTGGATACGGCAAGAGCTGGCCTTTGCCTTCCAGGGTGGAAATGGAGCTGGGGAGGCTACTGTTCTCAGGAAGCCAGGGTCAGCCATGTGCAGCTCTTGCCCAGGATGCCGACCACTGGTGTCCAGGCCCACTCCTCGCTTCTTCCCAGTCCCCCACAGGTGTGAGGACACTCAGTGCTCAGGACCTGTTGCCAGGTAGGGCTAAGTGACTGAGTTGATTTCTCCTCCCGTCTTGGCCTTTTGCTGCCCAGGTCCATTCTGAGGGAGGCTAGAGCAGGCACTAGGGTAGGGAGAGCAGGACACCCACCACGCCCCAGTTGCACTCACCTCCATTCGCCTATGCCACTCCCGGAGAGAATCAGCGGAACCCTATAGCCCTAAATTCTGATTATGGGTCTGCTGACTCTGTGGCACTTACTCACTGGGCCCTGGAAACTCAGCTCTGGGGCTTACTCCCCTCTTCTCAGCAAAGAAGAACCTTTTCATTTGATTGGAGAGAAAATTTGCTGTGGATCTATAGGCTTCAGGACTGAGGCTTTTAACCAAGAGAACTCTGTTCTGCCTGATTTCTTGGATGAGAGAGCTGTGTCAGGGTCAGAGCAGAAGCCTCAGGAATGTGAGTTATTTTTCCTCTAGCTCCTGCCTTGGGCATGACTACCCGTCTAGACCAGGATCCTTCCTCGGAAGAAGAAGGTTCAAGGGCACTTCCCTGATACTGTGCTGTCTCCTTCTGGATTGTCCCTGCTGGCGTGTGATGTGATGGTGGCAGCGGCTGTGAGCAGGGCGTGTGAGGCCTTGCTCTCACCACTGACCAGCTAGTCTCCTCCTCCCTGACCACTGCCTGTTGGCACATGGGCCTGATCTGCGCTTGGCCCCGCTCCTCTCTGCCGTGGCTTGGAATGACCTCACAGGCTGCCCACTATGCTGTGGGCTCCTCCACAAGGACTGAGTTCTCCTCTAGTGTGTCTCCTACGTGTTTGACACAGTGCGTGGCATCAAGAGGGGTAGATGAATAGGTCCTGAGTGGTGACTGTCCCTCTCCAGAGTGGCTGGAGGATCAGGGATGTCCCTAGCCACAGCTCTCTTTGCACATTTTCCCAGAGATTCCCCAAGGAAGCGACTGCAGACACACAGCCACTCTGAGATCCCCAGCCGCTTCCCTCACCCGTACCTCGGTTTTGGTCAGCTCTGCAATCTGTGGGCTGTTCAGACCCAGAGGGCCAAGGATGTCTGGCTCCTTTGTCAACCACAGGGACAGGAATGAAATCCAGCAGGCTCTCCCAGGAACCACACATTGTGGTTTCTTCAGTGGGTGTGATGGGAAGGACCCAGGATGCCATCTGAGCTGGCCCAGGACAGGGACACTATCTCCATGGGACTGACCTGAGGCCTCCCACCATTGACAGAGCAGCTTTTCACCCCTTTAGAAGCAGACTTTGGAGGTCCCAGACTCTCCCCATAGTAGTGTCTGGCGTTTTGCAGACCTCCGGAGTGAGCATGGAAAAGCTGCTCTTGAATGATGAGCCGACCCTGTACTGGTGGCCTGGTTGAGCTGGTGTTTCTGTCCTTTGTGGCTGCTGTCTTTTCCCCCTCCTCTCAGCTCCGCAGAGCTGCTTCACTTGTTTCTTTGAGGTCTTTTCCTGAGACATGATAGGGACAGGAGACTGTGATGAGCCTTGGGTTAGCCTGCTCCTTCTGGAGCCCAGTGGCTGGCACAGGGAGAGGTCAGAACCCTCTTAAGAGGGGCTGGATCATGAGGTTTGCTGAAGTGGGTAGGAGTGGTTCTGTACACACTGGAGGCATTGAGGGAACCTAGCTAGCATGAGGGTAGGAAAGAACAGGGACCTGGACAGGACCCCGAGAAGCCCATTAGCCTTCTCCCCATGCAGGACTCTGCCTGCCTGCCCTGAGATCCACTGCTGTAGTTGGCAGGTGCGAGGGGTCCATCTGGGCAGGCCTGGCAAGGCAGGTGTGGGACCAGCAGGAGCCGCGCCCTGCAATGGGCAGGCCAAGGCCTCGCCATCTGGCCACAGGAAGAGCTCCTTCATGGTGCTGGGCCCTTGTGTGGCTCCAGGCCTCACTCTGGTTTTTCAGTGCTTTGCTCCCTTTTCTCAGACCTTCAGTAGGAAAAACCTAGTCTAATCAGGGAAGGGAATGGATACGAGAATGGTTCCTTGTTGGATGAAGCTCTGAGCTGCCTGTGACCATCTGCACAGTGCATCCTTTGCCTCCGCCATGCAAGGATGTGCATGTGTGTGCATGCATGTAGGTGTGTGTGTGTGAGAGAGAGACATGGACAATGGAACAGGTACCTTGTGTCGAAGCCAGGCCTCTGGCTCTTAGCTGGTGGAGGGGCTTCTAAGTTTCAGAAACCTTTCACATTATTCTGGGCAAAGCCTCACAGCTCTCCAATTCCTATAGGGGTTCTCAGGCCCCAAATATTAAGTACTTTTAAAAATAGATTTACCCCATGGCCAATGGTATGGTTCAAGTCCTGGACCCAGGAACTTGAGAAACACGCTAGGTGTGTGTGTACACGTGCCCGTAATCCCAAGAGAAGAATGGAGGAGAGGGGATTGCAATGTAGCCATCCCCTCTGGAGAGTGATTTTTCACTTTTCCTTTTTCTGGCTCTCTCTGATGGGTACACATGCCCTATGGCAAAAATCTTTTTTTCATTTATTTATTTTTTATACATTCAACCACTGTATATCATTACAGCTTATCAAATGAATTTTCCCAGCATGAATACACTGTGTCCGGTTAAAGGTATTAATCATACACGTTATCATTAACAGATAATTTTCCATTTTTGTCTCCTTTAAATGTTGCATGTCTTTTTCTCCTTGGAAAGAAAGAAAGAATAAAAAAAGATTGACCCCTCCTAGATAATATCCACATGGACTTAAATCCTCCAGGCTCAAATCTAAAGAGGAGTGAACAGAAAGAGTAAAGTAGGGGAGACAGCATATCCAAAATCGAACACGAATTTCTGCCCTGTGATTAGGAGCGTGCGTAGCGGCTGCCAGTGTGAGACCATCCCTTTACCAGTGGTCACTGAGTGTACGTCATCACGTGATACTGGCCTAGGTGCCAAAAGGGACAGTGTCTGGGAGACCTGTTCCTTCCTTTTTAGAGTTTGCGTGCTTGTGTGTTTTAATTTTCTTTCTTAGGACTTGCACAGAGTCTGGAGGACTGATCTGCTTGTCTTGCAGGTGTTCCAGATGGAGTTACAGAGAGGAGGGAAATCCTGAGACGGGAGGGAGGAAAAGGAAAGGGACCGTTGTGGACTGGTCAGACCTCCCAGCCCTGTGTGTCCCAGGCTATTCCTCTGTGACCCCATAGTACTTGGAGCATGGCTGAGGCCTGCAGCTACCAGGAGATCACATGGCAGGCCTGTCTGCTGTCCCCAGTGCTGCCACCTCACTCTGCAGCACTCATTCTGTCTGGAGGACATCTGTTCTTGTTGGCTTGGCCAGTGAGTGACTCAATGCCACTTCAACCCTGGTGCTCTGCCCGTTGGGAGCCAGGAACAGCTGGGACCCTGAGGACCATGGGTAGGAGAAGCCAGTTGGGCTGAGTAAGCACTGGCTGGGGCTGGGACTTGGAGGGGTACCCATGGCACACTCCAGTTGTCCTCACCATAGAGCCAGTCTGGTATGTGAGAGCAAACCCTGCATGCAGTGGGCCTAGGGGGCACCCTTAGAGCCTGGTGCCCCAGACTTGAGGGTTCACAATGTTCCAAGGCTCTCCAGACTTGATTTGTGTCTGTCACTGTGAGCTGGAAGACCCAGAAATTTGGTCTTTACTTCTTTAATAATACAGTGCCTATATTTACTGAATACCTCCCTTGTGCCTGGTACCTTTTTTTTTTGAGAGTTTTTTGCTATAGGGCACATGCGCTCGCCAGACAGAGAGAGACAGAAAGACAGAAAACGAGAAATCACCCCCCAGGGGCGATGGCCACTGCTCCCTCCCTTCTCCTCCATTCTCCTCTCAGGATCTTGGGCACGCACGCACACACGCCTGGTGTGAGTTTTAAGCCACCAGGTCTGGGATGCGAACCGCGGTCGACTACATGGGAGTCCAGCAACATAGCCATTACGCTAACTGCTAGTCCCCCTGGTACCATTTGAAGCAGCTGATGTGTATTAGACCAGTTGACCTTTTCTTTTTTTTTTTTTTTTTTAACTTTATAGGGATATTTGTTATTGGGTGTCTGTGCTCACCAGAAACAGAGAGAGAAAGTGAGGAATCACCCCCCTCCCCACCCCGGAGGCATGGCCACATTGCAATCCCTTCTCCATTCTCCTCTCGAGAGCTTGAGCACATACACACATGCACCCGGTGTAAGTTTAAGCCTCCAGCTTTGGGACTCAAACTACTCTGTGGGAGTCCAAGCAATGCAACCATTATGTCAT